TCCTCCAGCTCCCCTTCCACTCACTCTCCCGGATTTCGCACACCCACAGCCACCGCCCTTAGATCTCGATCCGATCCAGATCGACGCCGCCACAGCTTCCCGTCGCCAGCCCCGCCCGGATGGGGACTGGACTCTCGCCGCTGCACGCAGACGCAGAGGAGGAGAGGGAGTCGATGAGCAATGGCGACTGGGACTGGCCGGGTGCTGCCACTGCTGGCCGTGGCGGCGGTGCTCGCGGCGGCGCTCCTCTACACCGCGCCCTTCTCCAAGGTGAGCGGCGCCTCACGCCCCTCGAATCTCCATGCGGCGGTATGGTGGCGGAGGCTGACGGGTGTTTGTTGTTTTTGCGCACGTGTAGGGCCTCGGAGGGGAAGGGTGCAGCCTGCTCCCGCATGACCACTTCTGGATCACCAGCCAGCGGGTCGTCACGCTCGGCCGCGTCAGCCCCGCCGCAGGTACTCCGCCCCTTCCCCTCTCCCTCCCTTCCATTGTTCCTCCATCATCCCGGCGTTTCATGGTGGTGTTGTACCTTCAGGCACGTGCATGGCCTTCTAGATCTTGGTGTGCGTCTTATATGTGTGTTTGATGTTGACGTCACTTGTGGTTTTGCAGGGTTCTGAGGCTGCAGCCTGGGCACCATCAGGGTATGCTGTTTCCATGTCCTGTTTCTTCAGTGCTCAATAGTTGCTTGTGCGACTGCTACCAGTCTGTTAAGACTAGTCTTTTATGTAATGCTAAACTAAAATGGGTCTAGTTATACTAATCATTCCATGAAAGTTCAGTCTGATTTGCTGGTACTCTAATAGATACGCCTTCAGCTTTTGTCATATAAACTCTCCTGGTGGTAAATCATTTGGTCTGCATTATAAAAATGTTTATGATGATTCCCACGGATTTTAGAAACCAGTCACAGTTCATGCTTTATAGTACTGTGAAGAATTTTGTTTGCTCATGCTCAGAATCATTGTTTTACATATGCTTGTGATGTTCTACTGGATGAGATGTGCATGATCTGGGTGATGAAGAAAATCGTTCGGATTCCCACTGATTTTCATGATTTTTACAACCAGATACTTCTGACGGATCATGCCATCTCTTGGACTACATATGTACTCCTTTATTATTGAGCAAATACTTTCCTTTGATTTTTTGCGAACCTCTTAGCAGTACTTTTTGTATCCTCTTTTTTGTGTTCTGCTGGCTAATGAGATGTGCATTACCTGGGTGATAAAGAAAATCGACGGGTCACGCCATCTCCTGAAGTACATTTGCACATTTTTACTGCTTTAGACTGACTGTACATGCATTCCTTCATTGGTTATGAACCTTATTGCTCATTGTGTTCTGTTGGGTTGAACTGCATGATTCCGGGTGATGAAGAAAATCGTTCGGATTCCCACTGATATTTCATGATTAGTGTAACCAGCTACTTCTGATGGATGATGGCATCTCCTGTATTACATTTGCACCGCTTTATGACTGGCCGTACATGCACTCCTTGTGTTGGTCGCAAGCTTGTTGCTCTTTGTGTTATATTGGGTCTTTTGCATGCTTCTGCGTGATGAAGAAAATCGTTCGGATTCCCACTAATACTTCATGATTATCACAACCAGCTACTTCTGGCAGACCATGCCATTTTGTGCTCTTTAAGAGATTTTGCTCTGTTTTAGGTTTTAATTCATTCAATAGTTTGCTGGTGTTTATTTTCCTTTGAGCCTGTGATGTTATCAAAATATTTGCTACTCTTAAGGGGTTTATCCCACTTGATGATCTTAACCGCCAAGATCTCTGAGGCTCTTAGTTCTAGTAATGTTATCAGTACAGTACATCCGTTGTTGCCAGATTTTCCATGGACTCTGTTTGTTTACTCTGCTAGTGGTTCCAGCATAGCTCTAGAGTACATCTACTCACTCAGATTTATACATTGTTAAAATGGAGGCTTGGGAAGAACTATTTTCTTTGTAGTAATAAGTCAGGAGTTGTTTGTTGCTTCAGTAGGGTGTCATACATTATAATCATCAGCTCATGTCGTCTGGGATCAAACATAGCTTTGAATTTACAAGTGTAAAGATTTATGTGAGAAGTACAAACCATGTTCACTTAAATTTCCTGCTAGTTGCATATCTGCACTTCATTGTACATACGTCGTGTTGGATCTCAGTCCAGAATCCAGATCCATAGCTTGTACTGCAACTAATGTGTCATGCGTTTTGTGGCAGCAACAGCAGCTAGTAGGAGCAATTCTCTTGCTGGTATGCATGTATGCCTCTGCTTTGGTCTTACTGCATGTGAGCTCGGTTGTGTCCGTTGACACAGTGTAGCTATTCTGTTTCTGTAGATTTGGGGTGGGGGAGGGGGGATCTTTGCCCACTTAAATTACTTTTATGTTGTTCATCGAATTGGATGGTTGCTCTGGTGTGAATCATACTAGTATGCACTAGCAGCAATCTGTCAATGTTTGCTACTGGAAAATCCTCAATATCTTTTCCAGTTATGCTTCCTGCTAAGGAATGGCTGCTGTTTCAAACTGTATTGTGTAGTTGTTGTTTCAAACTGTTTTGCTACAGTACCATAATTTGCATTAAAGATATTGTATTATGTTGCTGTATCATTGTTTAATAAAACCACAGCATGATGCTCACATGAGATATCCACATGTTTCTGTGCTGTTTGATTCAAGCTTACTCTCGTTATAATGTATTCTGTTGCTGTTTTGCTACAAGTTGTGTGTTGATTTGATAACAGGAGTTTCCTTGTCCTGGTCCTATACTGCATTTTGACTCCTCTTTTTCTGTGCGCGTGTGTTTAATTGATGTTGTTTCAACTTTCAACTGCTTCTGCATATGGCCTATACTGCAATTGAGATTTAAATTTGTGGTTGTTCCTCTTTTACAGATGCTCAAGCGTGAAGTGTGAAGCAAGTGTGAAGCCGTGAAGTGTGAAGCTGTCAAGTTCTACTTAGTGAAGAGTAGCATATTGTAGCATATATGTGTTGTAAAGATTGTAATAGATTTATTTAGTGGTATATTTGATGAAATTTATGTGTTTTTGATTATGTATGTGATCTGAAAACTTGTGAAATGGAAACTTGACCAATGGGTCCACTTATGAAAATAATCTGTCAATTTTGTACATTCCTGACATGTGGGACCAGTTTGAGAGATGATCATGACAAGTGGGACCCATCTAACTAGTGGGACCAGCTTGAATATATAATGGCTGAAAATAGAAAAGCAATAAATAATAAAAGGTCACGAGCCAACAATAAAAAAGGCTACAACGTTGGGCTTGGCCCATGAAGCCGACCAGAATTAACAAGGAAACAATAATAAAAGGCTGAATTAATGGGCTTGGCCCATGTAGAAAACCGAATTGGACCGGGCTGAATCTTGTGCCACATCAGCTTGCCACGCTGGATGCCTACGTGGCCTGGGGAGGTTGCTAGTGACCAAAATGCCACAGTAGACGTATTTTGGTCATAAACGTCTACGACCATTCCAGAAGAAAGGTTGCTATAGTCAGTTTACGACCGCTAGCTTTTGACCTTATGTTTTTGGTCACAAAAAGGTCACGAATTGAAAACAGTGACCATTCAGTGACCAATAGTGCTGGTCACAAGTTGACATATTTCTTGTAGTGGGTGTTGGCCAGCATACCTTGCTCGTCGACATAGCCTTCACTATGCTATCATCTTGCTTGACAGATGCTATCAAGTAGTTTTTTCCCCTGGAAAATGACCCCCCACTGCTAGATATAGAAAAAGTATATTCACAGGAGCATACACATGTTTTAGTTTGTTGGGATAGTTTGAAGACTGTATATATGTATTTGCTGATGCTTAGTTATTAAAAACTAAAAAGGCGAGCACAGAAGTAGTCCATGAGGAAATTTGTAATGATGGAATGAGGATCAGTTATAGTTTCATGTATTACTCGATGGTAGTATGATGATTAGTGCATATTTTGAAGGATTTGTCAAGTATAGACTGCTCTTGATTGGTGCATGTTTTTGGTGATATGTGCACACATGTAATATTTTTGGTTGGTGCATATTTTTGCTGATTGTTGTTACTGCTTACTTGAATTATGTCAGCCTATCTCCAAGATATGGTATGGGGTTGTTGGGGTCAATGAAAATTTGCTGTGAGCTAGTAGTTCACATTGCAACAAATTCCTCACTATTGGATTTTCTGCCATTATACTTCATAATCATGATTTTACTTGTTGGTATGTGTAGTAATGAGTAAATAAATAGCAAGTATACAAAAGGGTGGCTATTGGTCAGCATACCTTGCTCGTTCTCATAGCCTTCACTATGCTGTCATCTTGCTTGAGAGATTCTATCATGTCCTTATTCTCATTGGAAATTGGAAAATTAACCTCCACAACTACCTCTAAAAATGGTATGTACAACAGCAAATGCATTATTTATTTTTTTGGGACAATTTAAAGACTTTAAAATTATTACCTGATGGTACCACACAACAGCCCATCAGGAAATTTGCAGTGATCAAAGGCAGATCAGTTATAGTTTCACATATTGCTCGATGAGAGCAGTCAATCATGGTTCATTTGTACATAGCTACTAATTGGTTGGTTACCAAGTTTTCTTGTCCAGCTCACAAAATTGTAACCTTGAAATATCCTAATTGGTTATGTCTGCCCAATGATTATGAGTCTAACCACTAGTCTTGACTAGTCGTGCGAATAGTTGTCGACTAGCTTTTTCGTGTAGATGTTTATACATGAACTACGTACTTAGCGAGAAGTATGCGAAAAGATTATTCACACTGTATATGGTGCTAACAAGTCCTAATGGAAGACTGATTTCATATATCAATAACTAACATTTGTTCATTGCAATGCATGCAATAGGTTTGAATGGCAAGGGAAACCATCCTAATCGGCAGTGAAGAGAGTGATCACCAGACCGCCTCAAATGATGCTTCAGATGTCACTTCATGTGGGAGTGATGACTATAGCATTGACGACGACACCTCGAGCGACTATGACACTGATGATAGTTCTGATGGAGATGCAGATGTGGACCATGATCCTATCTTGGCACTATGGGGTAAAGTTCTATATGGCTGGGCAAATATTAAATGAACTGTGAAATATCAAAAGTTGATGTTTGAGTGACACTTGATTACCACACATTACTCTGTTTGGGTTCTAGATGACCTTCCAAATCAACATTGACTGAACTAGAGCTTACATAGAGGAGTGTTTAGTTGTTAGTTTAAAAAATCAAATATTCAATTTGCCCATGTTTCTACGAGATATTGCTGGGTGGATGTGATTGGGTTATCTATGTCCTTCATTTCTTGATCATTGTAGTAGGCATTGATCATTAACCCAGTGTTGATGTTCTAGATCTTACGTATGAAATTATTTACTACTCTGTCATCTTAATTTTTTTTCATACAGGTCTGGGATACATTGTGAGAAAAGGAACTTTTGAGGATCGCATCTTCTACGGCAACCATGTATCGCTAAATGAGGATCGGTGGGACTGTCTCAAATCCATAGTAAAGCGGTGCCAACCTCCCATACCATACTACGTCAGCACCATCACTCTCTCGGCAGTCATCAAAGGGAAGAGCAAGATGGTAAACACT